TGAATATAAGTATGAGTATTAAAGAAAACCTTCCACAGCATTTTTTAAACTTTTGTGTTTGGATGTGGGAGACAGTTGCATTTTGGGAGGCACTTGCATTGTGTGTCAGCCGAGCCCAGTGGTAGTAATCTCGCCTCCAAGTCAGAAGGGACTTGGAATCAAATCGTCTAAGATGACACTCCAACGTAGTGGTTGGGGGGTGTTCTATTCTCAGAGATGCGTCCCTCGGATGAGATGTTAAACTGAGGTCCTCTCTGCCTGTTCAGGCGGACGTGAAAGATCCCATGGCACTATTCGAAAAGAGAAGAGAATAGTGTTCTGGCCAACAATCTCCCTAATAAAATTGTTCACTCGCTCCATGGATGTTTGTGAGACATTGCCATATGCAAACTGGCTGCTGCATTTCGCCCATAAAATACACAGTCAGTCCACTGTAATGCTGTACAGTGTATCCTCTGAAGCGTTTGAGACGTCTTTAACGACGTGATAAGGTGCTATATCAAATGCAAGGATTATTATTTATTCCCCGTGACTGGTTGTCCTGAGGAGATGGTGGTGGGGCCTCTGTCAAAAACACTGCAATCCTTGTGCGATGCTGCTCCCACCATGTTGTGAGAGTAGGTGCTTTCCCGCATCGTAAACAGATTTTGTCATTGAATTGGTTTGGTTTCAGGTTATCCTGATGCAGTGTTTGACAACCACCTGACTGTATTCTTATTCTGTCAATGATTCAGTCAAGCATTTGAGATGGACTGATGTAAGTAGATTTGCCTAGTAAAACAAATCACGATTAAGAAACAAAATACCTTCTCTTTTGGGGTGTAATTGGGTGTCCTGTTTTTACATGAAATTTTGCATGTAACAAGTGGGAAGGGTTTTTGAGAATGGGAGTGATGACAGCTGTTTTCAAGAGGATGGGAATTGTGCCAGTGCACAAAGAGGTTGTCTGTTAGCAGGGTGCAAGGAGGTTGAGCTGGGACGTCAGAAGTGAGAGGTAGGGATGGGTTGAGGAAGCAGATGACGGGTTTCATTTGGGAAATGACGGAGGAGAGGGAAGAAAAACTGGATGAGGGAAAGTGGGGAGGGAGGGAGGGGTGGAGAAAATTGCTTGTTGGGAAAATGCCAGCGTAAGTGGTGCCTCAGGACATGAAGAGGTTCTCCTTCAGGGAACCACATAATATTGCGCCGACCTGTGAGAACTTGGCATGGATCCAAGGCCTCATTCGAGCCGAATCCTCGTGGGTCAGGATGATGTCTGTGGGGTTCTGTAGAGGAGACAGATTTACGTCTCATCATTCCTTTTTAGCACAAAGCACCATTTGCACTGTTTTTCCAGTGAACACTTTTTAATCCTCAGTGAGCACTGAGCACTGACAGGACTCAGACACTTATCCTTGCTTGATATTAAGTCATATCTAAACCTGAACATTATCTGAACATTTTTAAGATCATTTGTCAATGTAAATCCTTTGTTGAATTTAAGGTGACTGTGCGTTTTATATTGTCAGCTTGAGACATTTTCTCTTCATAATGTTTTCAGCTTTTTATGCTACTATATTTTCTAACACTATCAAAACTGAATTTAAATAAAAAATGTAACCCGGACATGTTATGCTAGCAACGGATTAAAATTAGAAATGAACAGGATTTGTTGTTCCCTTTAAGTAAAGCAGCATTGAGTTGTTTTTCACCAAGAGAACACAATGTACTGGCTGAACCCAGCCTGGAGAACTGTTATCATAGATTTCTTGTATTCTGGTTGGTGGAACCGCTGAAAGTCTATCCCGCCTACTCTTGCTATCCCATTGAGGCCTCCTCGAGGTTTGTGGTTACTTTTGTGATCCCAGCTGCCTGTCACTGGCTGACTTTTTTGGCCCTGAAGGGAATAGCAAGCAGTTCCTGGAAACTGGAGTGAATGTTGGGAACTGTCGCTATTTAACTCTGGAACAGAACCAGATACTGTACTGCTTGGTTAAAGAAACAGATGAATGAGAACTGTTCAAAGAACATGACCGTTGAAAACCATATGCAGCAATGTTACTCGGTGTGTGCCATACAGTCATTTCATGAAGGAATTTATTTATGCATGTTTTTCCAGATTATGGATAAGTAACACGCTTTTTTGTTGGTTTTAAATGGGGAAGGCGGTTCTAGAATTTCTCCAGAAACCTGAGAATTTATAAATTAACTTTCTTTATCCGAGCTGAATGTTCTATCCTATCACATTAAAGGTCAACAAGTACCATAACATCTTTGAATGGCTTAAATGTTCTTGTGAAGTTTTTTTTATTCAATGATTTTGACCTTTGTCAAGTGAAACCAAATTTAGCTTAGAGAATGTAACTCGCATTGTAAAATGTCACCAGATTCAACCACAATGTTGTGTCAAAGGATGGACAGAGAAATTGACTTTAATCACACAATAGTAAAAAAAACACTATTTGAACAACATTTCAATAATAGGCAAATCATATTTTCTGCCAAGGCTTACAAACTTCAGTACTAATTCACACTGGCCAGGTTATGATAAGGATACCTGCTCCAGAGGGTGACTTTATGCCTCAGTGTGCTCCCTCATACTGAAAGCTGTCTTTTCTGGGATATATAGGAAATAATAACTTTTTTCCTGATTAGTCAGAAAGCGGTGATACAACTCAGGGATTTGTCAAGGCATCAGTACTGAAGTACCTTTTTTTTTTATCCCCTAATGTGGACTAGAAGAGTCTTTCTCTATTGTCATCCATCTCTGTACCACCCTCCAAAAACTTGTACCAAAAAAGTTTACCCAAAGTTGTTGCAATTTTAATCTTTTTCTTAATCATGTAGCTATCAATAAGAAAGAATCTGAATATTTAGCACATTTAAATGTCCCGAGGCACTTGTAACAGTTTTTTCTTGTCTAAGAAAACAAAGCGGCTGTTTAGTGTACTTCAAGGGCCCACAAAGATCTATGAGGTGAATGACCAGTTTATCTGGATCTTTACTGGCTAGAACACCAGGAGAAACCCTTGTCTCTTTTCAAATATTGTTTGGGATCTTTCATGTCCATTACATCCGTTTTGTATGTCAACCAACAAGATACAGTGCTCCCCCTGTATTAGGAACTGATGATCCAGTGCTCCCCCTATTACAGCATGGTCAGCTTAGGGTGGTCCAATCTTTTGGCTGCTGAGGGCCTAATTCTCCATTTGAGAAAGGACCGCGGGCCACATAAGAAATATTTTTGTGTTTCCCCTTCCAGAACATAATAACATTTACAGAGTCTTTTTCACGTTGGAAGGACGTCTCAAAGCACTCGACACTGCTGACTGGGCAGCTGAACTGAGGAGGGAGCCGACAGGGTGGGATGGGGAGGGGAAAAGATGACCCAAGATGCAGTCAGAATTGGTTCTTATGGCCTTGAAAGGGGAGGGAAGTGAGCGAGTCAGAGGGACTCCAGTAATGGAACTCCCAAGAGCAGGGGCAAAACGGCGATGGTGCAGCAGATGGGATGGGGGTACATGAAGCAAGCCGGTGGGTGCTAAAGACACGGTGCATAAGGAGACATGCTTGCCTTCCTGACAGACTGCAGTAACAGCAGTCATTATTTCCACTCCCAACCACCGGCTCCTGGCCCTGCCATGAGAAGACCGTTCACCGGGAAAAGAGAGTGCGGGCGACCCGAAGTTGGAAATGGTCTCGGGCCGGATGTGGCCCCTGGGCCCCCTGTTGGACCATGTTGGCTTAGACCATGAGCTCAAATCCCAAAGTGAGGCTTGAACCTAAAGCTAGTGATAACATTAGGTTTCTAAGAGGAATTCTATTTGTTGCCCTTTTTTTTTCATTGCTCTTACAAGGGCAGTTCAGTGAGTGCAATTGTTGCAGCTCTTGAAAGGGCAGGCCAGTGGAACTGCATTACTCTCTGTTTCTGTACTGAGTGATCAGTAGTGATTAGATTATTATGTACACAACATTGCAGGTCTGTTATCAGCAAGAATTCCAGCTACTACAAATCACAGCAATTTTTGGAATTTTAACATTTTTAAAAATTACCATTTGGGGCCTGAATGTCCAGTAAATTCAGGCAACAGACACTGCAGCTCATGAAATCTGATGGGCAAATAACTGGACAGTGTCTCATTTTAAACCACTTTCTCAAATGTTCTTCTGAAATCAGATATATTCTGATATAATAGTAAAGTGATAAAGGTGGTAAAATACTATATTGGGACATGCTACACATTCTGTAGTGAACACCTCACTTGTTGCTGTTAGGGTAAAACTCAATTCAGATTAAAATTAAAAAAATCCTTGCATTTGTGATGTTTCAAAGCGCTTCACAGAATACACTGTAAAGTAAATTGACTGTGTATTTTGTGGGCGAAACTCAGCAGCCAATTACGCACAGCAGTGTCCCACAAATAGTCATGAATTGAGTGACCAAGTTATTATACATTTTTTTTGAGCAATTATTATCCCCGGAAACGAAATTCACCAATCAACTAACAACCGGGATCCTACTTACTTGCTAGGTAAATAGAGGTGGGTGGGATAAGGAAACTTGTTCAACGTTTCGCCCTGTCAGGAATCAAACCCAGATCCTCTCACTTGCGAGGAGAGTGCTCTAACCAATAAAATACAGGATTATACTTAGAAACACATAGATTAGGTAGCACCAACAGCAACTTCAATTTACACATCGCCTTTCATGTAGAATAAAGTCTTGAAGTTGAGGCAGAGGGGATTTACATCATGTAGCAGGTCCGAGTTTGCAGAATGGAAGAGGCGAGTAAAGAATGAGATTGGAAAAGATCACAGAAGTAGAGAAGTGCAATGGCATTCAGAGATTGTTGGTGAGTGTGAAGATCTTGAAGTCGATCTGCTGGTAAATGGGGAGCTAGTGGAGATTGGTGAGGACGGGGTGATTGATGTGCAGAGTTTTGTGTAGTTAGCAGCCGGTATGTTGGGCATTGCTGATGGTTTAATGGTTTTTATTGAACATTTTAATTGTTTTTCTGTAGGCTGTGTCTTCTGGTTCAAGATGTGTATGGATTATTCAGTGAAGTTCAACTACGTACATACTCTTTGTTGGAAGAGGACCTGCAGCAGCAGAGCGCATGTTGGGAAGGAAAGAGGTGTTATCTGAAAGGGATGAAGATTATTCAGAGAACAACAAGAGGAAGGTATGAATTGAAGGTGATGTGAGAAAGTAACCATGACTAACAGTATCCTGTGGAGTCTACTTCACATAAATATATTTCTGGTCCAAGCCAGAGTTTCATAAATGAATAAATGTAAATACAAAACTTTTAATTAAAACATTCAGTGTTCCTCAGGTATATTTTCTAAATGTGTAGTATTGTACGGTCAATCCAGATGTTATCCAGAGACAGCAGAGTTTCAAGTCACTTCTGAGTTTATAAAAATACCAATGATTTTCAATTTCTAGTCCCTAATCTAATCACTGAGCTCTTTTACAAATATCAAGAGGCATCTGGCTGTTATCTGTGAAGAGCAACCCGTGTAGCCTCCTCAGTTCAGCTGCCCAGTCAGCAGTGTCGAGTAATTTGAGATGTCCTTCCAACGTGAAAAAGACTCTGTAAATGTTACTTGTTACATGAATTCCATTGAGGGTCTACAAGTCAGTTATTCAGGGTATTGTGGGTGTGTAATATATTCCAAATTGGCATGGTACTTTGCATTTATATGCATATATGTGGAGCCTTGTAGCTACAACAATAAAATTACATTTGTATAGTGCCTTTCACGTCGGGAGGACGTCCCAAGGCGCTGGACAGACAGAGTTACGGACCTGAGCTGGGGGTCGGGGAGGGTGGAGGGCAGAGAGACAGGAGGGTGATCGAAGGCACGGTCGAAGATGGGGGTTTCGAGATGGGTCTTGAAGGAGGCAAGGGAGGTGGCGAGGCAGAGGGACTGCGGGATGGAGTTCCAGAGGATAGGGGCAGAGTGGCAGAAGTCCCGCCTGCTAATGGGGTGGGCGAGGCGGGGGACATGAAGCAGGCTGAAGCCTGCTTAGCGGAGGGAGCAGGCGGGTTGGTAGGGGGTTAGAAGGTCGCAGAGGTAGGGGGAGCAAGGCCATGGAGGGCTTTGAAGGTGAGGACCAGGATCTTGATCTGTATCCTCTGTGTGAGGGGAAGCCAGTGGAGTTGGGCAAGGATGGGGGTAATAGGGTCGCGGAGCCTAGTGCAGGAGAGGACGCGGGTGCAGAGTTCTGAATGATCAAACTCAGTGAGTTTGCAAAGTCAAACCTCGATGTAATGAAGGTACGAGGGTTTTGGTGGGCTGCGGTGTGAGACAGTGTTGGAACCAGGTGACATTGCTGAGGTGGGGGAAGGCAGAGCGGGTCATTGCGCAGATGTGGGGTAGAAAGGATAGTTAAGGGTCAAACAAGACCCCAACGTTCCGGACTGGCTCAGCAAGGTGGAGTGTGCATCTATGGATGTGATGCTGTCAGCGCCTGAGGTGAGGAGGCACTGACGGGAGCCAATCAGGAGAGCCTCGGTCTTGTTGACGTTCAACTAAAGAAAGTTAGCTCTCTTCCAGGACTTGATGTCTGACGGGTATTCTATCAGCGCAACAGTGGTCCTGGAGTCAAGGGTGGAGGCAGAGAGGTAGAGTTGGGTGTCATCTGCATACATGTGGAAGTTGACCCCATGTCTGTGGATGATGTCACCAAGAGGGAACATATAGATGTTGAGTAGCTTAGTGGTTAGAGCACTTGCCTTGCAAGTGAGAGACCTGAGTTCGATTTCCGATAGGGTGAAATGTTGGGCAAGTTTCCTTACTCCACACACACACCTCTGTTTACCTACAAGTAAGTAGGTACCTGATTGTTAATTGATTGATGGATCACTTTTCCGGGGGTAATAATTCCTTCAAAATTAAAAAAAAATTGGTTACTCAATTTAGGACTGTATATGGGATACTGCTGTGTGCTATTGGCTACCGCATTTCACCCACAAAATATACAGTGAATTTACTTTACAGTATATTCTGTGAAGCTCTTTGAGACGTCTCGAAGACGTGATAAGGCGCTACATCAAATGCAAGAATTATTATTATTATTAGACTCATCGTACTGTTCTGTGATGTGTGGCTTCACAATCAACATTTGGGGCAGAGAAAATTGACTTATAAAATGGTTGTGAATTCGAGTAGTGAGAAGGACTTTTCTTTTTCAGCGCCTTGGGTCGTCCTCCCGACGCGAAAGGCGCTATATAAATGTAATTTTGTTGTTGTTTTATTCTTAACATTTTTTTATATATTTGTTGCAAATACTGACATTTAGCAACATAGTTTCAGATCATTGGTCAATCTAGTCTACCTATCCAACTGTCCAAAAGATCGCTTCAGGACATCTATCTTATCATCTAATAACCCTGAATCCTATTATTTTCCAAAAACGTGACTAGTTCCTTTTTGAAATACTTTATAGTTCCTTGTTCTACCTCCTGTGCTAGTAGTTTGTTGTATATGCTTAAATATTTTTTTCTGTAAGAAACCTTGCATTTTAAGTACTTCCTATAACATCAAAATGTCTTGAGATGCTTCACAGATAAATTGCTATTGTGCAGTGACTGTATTTTAGGCAAATGGGACAGTCAATTTGATCAGCAAGAACTCACACATAGCCATGACGTGAATGACCAATTTATCTTAAGGATTGTTGGCCAGAACAGCAGCCAGAAACTCCCTTCTCATTGTCATTGTTGAAAGTAAAAATATTAAAAGGGAAGCTCCATTATATTGCCATTATTCATGTAATTTGTGAAGCAATTGATTGCTTTAGACTCGGCTACAAGGATTTTTAATTTATTTCCAGTCCCTAATCTAATCAGTGAATTCTTATACTAATATCAATATGTAGTATTGTTTGGTCAATCCAGATGTTATCCAGAAACAGCGCAGTTTCAAGTCACTTTTGGTTTTAAAAAAAAGCCAGTGATTTTTTATAGTGTAGATCGGCTGGATATCTGGTACACATAGCCACTGCTGCCTGTTTTTCTTAACTTTTTTTGTTATAATCCCACTTTCCACTTTTTCTTCAACTGTTTTTTTCTGCTTGGCTGAATATCCAGGTTCCTTTTTAATGCTTGTATTGTTCCTACTACAGTGATCGCTTGTGATAATGAATTCTAAACACTACCAACATTAAACGTCCTTCTCGGCAGACTATACATATTTTCCCTGGGCTTCATGCCATCTGGTTTAATTCCGGGCAATTCTGTATCCCAAAATGAATTAAGCAAAAGTTCCAGAATATCTATCTCTATATACCTGCTACTTGACCCTGGCCCCCTACCCCCGGAGATTATTTCTTCCCTTCTCGTCATTGTGTTCCATAGTGTATTATTTGTTCTTCTTCTTATTATTTGTGCATGTTTTCTTTACATCTTCCAAAACTGTTCTCAACTAAATATTCATCCTGTTCTGTTTTGAGTTCACTGAAGCTACTTGTGTTGTGAGTCTGTATATGTATTCCAGTACTGTGTAGGGAGGAATATTACAAGGCATGCTTTCCTTCCAAGTCATTTAATCATACAGTAGTGTAAAGTATTTTAAAATAGTGAACAGCTGACAGCCACTGTATGTGTGTGGGTAAGAAATGGGTTAATCAGTGTTCAATACTGATGCTTCGATTACACCTGGAAGAAGTTTGGAAAACCTTGTTCTTCATACCCTCTTATTAATCTGCTACCGCCTTGAGATGTTCCATACACATTATCCCCAAAACAATGACCAAGTTCTTTCACATCTTGGATTGAATCAATGCTTTGAACCTTCCCGATAACACTTAGATAAGAGTTTTGCTTTTGGGGAGCGATAGTTGAAACCCTTTATCTGCAGAGGTATTTGAGGAGAAGGGCAGTTCTGAAGGAGAACATCATCAAAAGGTGGAGAGAGGAGACCTGGTTTATTGTCGAAATATGTCTATAATTGATAATCTATGTATAATATTTGTTTAGATTTGTTATTAAGAATGTATTCCTTAATTGGAAAAGGATCTGGTATACTTACTGATATTTTTCTGTCCTTATTTCACGGAGACCGAAGGGTGATTCATGGTGTAATATAATCAGCCCGGGTTAGTATGAGCTGCATTGTTTGTATTTATGTAATTAGTGCGTGTTGCAGAATAAACTGAGAGCGAAACTGGGTACAATTGAGATTTGTAGTAACTGAGAAGGAGGTGACTTGAGAGCACATTTGGTAAGAGATTGACCAGATGATGGTAAATTGGTGACAAATGGTGTGAATAACAGAGGACTCGGAACAGAGTTTTTGATTTTCACCTTATTCAACTGACTCGTACATGATCTTGCCGTGGCTAGGTTTCACTTTTCCTCACAAAGATCTTAAAATAGAAATATTCTGTTCTCTTCTGTTATTTTATTTGCCAGTTCTTCCCACTTAATTTTCACTGGAACATTTATACTTTTCAATTAATGCACCTCTGCTTTTTTTTAACCTTTGCTTTTAATACGGCATAAAATGAAACTTGACAATGATTATTTTAGCTCAGAAGTTCACCCATTTCCAAGATGTCTTAGACACTCTATTAAGTTTGTGTTTAACCGAACACCAGAACTGATCAGCATCTTGGAAATGGGTGAACGTCTGAGCTCAAATAATCTCTGAGCAATCTATTTCGAGTCACTGTCAATGATCACTTGTATGAAATGTCTTGTATATTCACCCCTCCCTTCTATTTGTTGCCATCTGGCAATTTTATTTCTGTGAATTTTATCATTGCCCATGCTTGGTGCATGCCAGTCCCTTTTAGCCGGTTGACATGGCTATACAGCACACTGTCTACTTCGTTAATTCAAAAAATACTAGTTTGTTGTTGCAAATTTTGTACCCACATTGCTTCAGATACCTCTTCTATGCTCTCTCACTCTTCCCTCTCCCAACAGCCTCCCTTTTACAGATGTTCTATTCTCCCTGACCAGTAATGTGTTTTGCCCACAAAATATACAATCAATCCACTTTACAGTATATCCAATTACATGCTTTGAGACGTATCAACAGCATGATGAGGGCTATACCAAAGGCAAGGATTATTATTGTATGTCACTTTGGTTCAGTCTCACAGCTCTGTCTTTGCAAAATATTTTATACTCTTTTAGCTCCATCTCAGAGAATGGAAGTCAATCTTCTG